CTTCATTGACACATTCCTTTGGTGAAGTGCTGTGTAATGCAAGTGAAAGCCATCACACCAAAGCACATCTTACTACTTTAATACTTATTCTCTTTATGAAAGATACATACTCTACTCTTAGAGAAGAATGTGGGAGTGATGTAGCAAGTCTTTCTGTGTCTGGGAAATCTTACAGTGGTATTTTGCCATCATGTACTGATGTGAAATTATCTTTCTTAACAGTTATGAGATCAGTTGACTTGTTTTTTGTTTTTGTTTTTTTTTTTTTTTAATGTGGTAATAACTAAGATTTCAGTATAACCTGTCTTCTGTGCTTTTTAGTTTGTAGCAGTGTTCTGAAACATTCTGTGGTATTGGTCTGATTCCTGTCATGAGAAGAAAAGGCTTTGTTCATATTCAAAGTTCATGCCAAACTACTGTGTGCTAGGGAAAGATCTAGGGAAAATCTTGTGTATCATGAGTTAGCCTCTTTTAAAATCATAACATGAGGTTGGGATGGTTTAGAGGTTTTGAGTTGTCTGGAGGGGATGTCTGGTTTGTTGTGGTTTTTTTTAATCTGACTTTTAACCATGTAGTAGATGGGTTTGTGCTCTAAGGGTCAAGAGGTCATTTGTTGGAAAAGCATTCATTCGATGGGTAGCAAGCTCTTCTATTTATTTCTGGTGTTGATTGGTCTGTTGTCAATACACATATTTGTGGAGATTCCTCATAGAAAGTGACAAAAAAGAACAGCAATATTTGTGTAGTTATGCAGCAGAGGGGGTATTTAGCTGTATTGATTTGATTGTTTCATGTACTGCATTACTCAGATTTATAAGGTGAGCCCAGAGGACTTCAGTCACTATAGTAAGTTAATAACAGGTGAAATCATAACTTCAGAGAGATGTAGGAAACATAATATTGGTTACGTATTTTTAGTGAAAAGCTTCATTTGAACAGCAGACTAATACACACTTGGATATTTTGCTTTGTTGAAGAGGTCGAATTATGAACCCATTTCACTTGGAGTTCCTTGCTACTGTTGTCCCAGAATAGCTACAGTCATAAATATTTAGACTAGTTGGTGTTTTCAGTCGTTACTTTGAAAAGCTGACAGTAACTTTTCTTCAATGTGACGATGTGAGAAACAAAACAGCAGTGGGAACTAAATGCCATATTCCCTTGCAGAGTTCATTGGAGTTTTCAGCGAATATTTAACTGTGACTTCTGACAGAAACTGTGTCATACTCTCACCTTGACAAGATTAAAAATTGATAGTGTTTTCAAAAAGAAGTGAGTTTTGTAACGTTCTGATTGCATTTCTGAAAGCTAAGTGAAAAGAAATTAGGAATGACTGACTGAAGCAATGTAAACGGAACAACTGTGTATCTGCTTGTCTGGTGCATAAAATCCACATTCATTTTAGAGCTGTCTTGGGTAATCAAACATTCCTGCATTAACAATGACGGGATGCTCATATGTTATATGATGATAGAAAAGATAAAAGCCTCTCTTACTTTCCCCTTTTGAGGAACAAAGACTGTAGCACTGAATTGCATGGCACAAGAATGTATAGAAAAATTAGACTATGCCCTCCTTCCACTGGGAACATGGGAATCTATGCTAAGCATGAGTTAATTAGCTGGTTAGTGCTTAGTTCAGCATCTGATGCTATGGTAAATATTAAATAAATTAATCTGACTGCATAGAGTACTTAAGCCGTAAGCCACCGCAGCCCTCCCAGGCCAGCAAGCACTTCAGACTGAAATCTCAACATGTTTTGTGGCAAAAGCTATGTAGGCAGGAATCAAGACCTAAGCAAGTGTATTTTTTTGTCCTATGGTGTTCATGAGCAAAGCAGCAAAAAAACCCTGCCCTCATTGGCCTTCTGAATAGGCCAGGTGTTATAAATGAAGCATCCTGACACTTTTAGAAGCTCCCAGATCTTGATGGGTACCTGAGCTCCAGCCTGTCAGGTACTGATGTCTATTTCCTCCTCTTATGTAGTCTCAAAAATACCTTTAAAGTGTATAAAAATCAGTGTCATTTGAGAGATGCTGTTGTGTGTTTGATCTTTGTTAAAATTGCGAAGCAAAAAGGTGGGGAAATATTCACCGCTTAAAACTTCAGGTGAGTGTGCTAACTTTAGTAAACCATTTATTTAGTAACTCTAAGGTAGCTAGTCATCTACAGTGCATCTACATTATTGATAACGTTGTCTTTGTGTAAGGCTCTGCATTTCTGTGAATCACAAGACTTGGAAAAGTAAGTACAGTATTGACCACTGATAGTCCTAGACACTTTTATGATTAAGCATTTTGCCACGTAGAGAGGACAGAAAAGAAGTTGAATATGTCTGGAACTGTTGAAATGTGATAAGTTCTAGCAGAGCCTGAATTTCCTGTGGAGAATATCTGAAAGCTGGCTTAGTTTTAAAAAAACACTATTATTGGGCCAGATATTACTGAATGAAAACATTTATTTCTGGATTATGCACAGAAAAAAGGAAAGGAAGGCCTGGTTAAAAGATAAAGGTACATATCCTTTCCCCTGAGAAGGCAAATTACGCTGGAAATTAGAAATGTGAGAAAGTAATGCAGTCAAATTCATTGGCATCTTGCTTTTCAAAGGAGCATTATGTAATTAGAAACACAGAATTCATGTCAGGAGTGATGATAGTAACCAGCAATGAAAATTAAGTTCCCAATTCCTTGGTTGATGGATGTGTAAGTTGGGGCTATGTAAAGGTTTTCTTTTTGATTCATGGAGGTTACAATGCAGATGCTACACATTCAAATTATAGGGAAAAAAAAAACACCTTTTGACTAAATAAGTAAACAGTCTTTTAACCATTGTCAGACCAATTTACTTTGTGGTTTTTGTTTTGTGTATATGATTTTATAAATCATTTCAATTTCCTTAAATTATGATCTGGAAACTTAGTTTTATGAGTTAACTTAATATAAGGTACCATGGTGTACCTCAGCTTTTCTAGAAACCTGCCTTTCAGCATCCCCAAATAACTTAGAATTTGGAGAATGGAGAGACAGCGGTACTGACCTCATGCAGTGTTTTCTTCAGTATTTCTAGCTTTGTTTTAGATAAATATACCTAGTATCTCCAATAACTGTGTTTTGTTTTCAAAAAAAATTAAAGTATTGTAAATAACAGCCACTGAAGAACTCATCTGAAGTGCTAAATGTACAAGTGAATTTGGTACCCAAACCAATTTGTCCTTTGGCTACTCTGAGATGTTAACTGTAGGTAAAGGTGGGCTTTGACAGTGCTGAAATAATCCCATAAAAAAACTGTGTGGCTGGGGGATAGGGCACTGTCTGCCCTGGAGGAAGGGGCTTTGAACACACTGCCTGTTTGCATGTTTGCTGACAAATAGGAGTGCTTACTGCCTTTTCCTGGCAGCCTGGCAGCCTTGAAAACAAGGGGTGAAGCTAGTGGGTTTTTTGCTGTCCCTGCACAAGTTAACCCCAGCTTGCCCCCTTGGCACCTTGTTGCTATCACTGTGACCTCTTACTGCAGTTTCAGGAGGGAGTCTTGGAGTGACGAGCTTTGGGGGTAGTGTGACAAATGGTATCTGCAGAGCTACCCTGCACTGCATGTGGCAACAGCGTGGTGAGCTGTAGTCTCAGTAGCCCAGCCATTATATCGAAGTGAAGAATAATCCTAATTATTGTCGTTTTCCTTAAACTGTGGTATGGGTATCAGTAATATAAAGGTGGCTCTTCTACAGGGCTCTCTAGATACACATATATATGCTTCACTCATCCTAGGCAAAGGAAAATGGAATTTCACAAGACCTGAAAGGGAAAATTATCTCCAAGAACCAATGCCTAGCTCTCTAAATGTCTGGTAAATCTGTTCCCAGCCTTGACTTCAAAAAGATGATGGAAGTCAAAATGGAAGCCATGCTTCACTCAAGACTCATATATTTCAGGTGTTTGATCAGTTATATTTTTAAGGCAATATTTCCAATATAAATATTACTATAATTAGTCTTCCTTGGCTACCCAATCCAAATGATCACTAGGCCCTTTTACATTGAGAAGGAGGATGCTGTCTTGGACGTTAACTCAAAACAAAGCACTGATTCATGATCTAGATTCAGAATGAGACAACATTGCTTTAAAGTGCTTTTCAAATTTAAATATGAGAGTTTCTCTTTACTTAGTCATCTCCTTTCCTTCTGTTACTAGTTTGTTTTTCTGGGATTGATTTGTTGGTTTGAGGGGGAGTGGGCTGAGAGAGATTGTGGAAATAGGGGATCACACTGGGAGGAGATTTGCTTACAGATCTTAATTGGTGTGACTTGCTTGGTATTTGGTTCATGTTTTGTTTATATCCCCAGCTGGTATTTCAGAGTTGTGTGGTAATTGCTGGCATAATACACAAAAGATTAAGCACTCTGTCTTTTGGGAGAGTACTGTGTGTAGTGATTGGGGATTTAATAGCGCTGCTTCCTGTCAGCTGGCATAAAACTGACCCAGTGAGGACATGTTAAAGAATTAGAGAGACAAGATGAGGAGGAAGTGGCAGGAACCAAACAGTACTGCGCACACTCTACTTCCTACCTGTTTGAAATGTATCTTCAAGCAGTGGCAGTATCAGCTAAGACACTGGTGTCATTAAGCCTTCTTATTATTGTAAAGGATCTAATATATACTCTCTACATTGTCCTTTACATCAAATTTAATTTTTGACAAGTGTAAGCATGCCCGTCTTATGCTGATACTTTTTTCCTGTCTTTTTTCTTTCTCTCCCTTTTCTCTGTTTTTGGTTTGTTGTGTTCACTTATGGGTGGATTTCTCATAGAACATTCTCTAGTATAATTTATGTTTATCTGAAAACAGGAACTGCAGTTCTTCAGTAATAATAAACTCCTCTATCTAAACAGTCACTATTTCTAGTCACTGCCTTCATTTTCTACACATCCTCTCATTTTTTTCATTTGCTGCTGCTGTTAATCTGACATCCTTTGCTCCAAAAAAAATGTGTTTTATTTACAGGGCACAGCATTGGGAAGTGCTCCTGTACCTTCTCGCAGGCAATTATGTGAGTCTCTTAAATTCCGCTCTGTGTTGTAAAGATGACTGTGTTCATGTGCTGTAGCATGGCATGCCAATCTAGAGTTAATGCCCTGAGGTCAATATTCAACCGCTGGTGTTGTATATTGCCTGTAATGTGTTTGTAGCTAACAGCTTCTATTGACCCCTTCTTTATTTCTTTGTTGTGTTTTGTTCAACACATCATGAAATGGGGCTGTGCTGTGCACTATAGACTTGCAAGCAGGGAAGAAAATTACATAATGACTCAAAGTCTGGAGGGGAATAAGAATAATGTTACCAGATCATGTGTGTAACATTGTAATGAGTAGTATAGTTAAAACTAAAGAATATATTTTTACTATTCTTCAAATTAATATCTCCTTTGTGCAGACAAAAAAAAATCTGGACCTCAAAAAACAAAGAAATGGAAAATCAAACCATGTGATACAAGGCAGACATTACTGAGGCCAGTTGTATTCTTTATAAGACTGACTTTCCTGCTAAATAATTTGAAGAACAAGTCTGTCTGCTGAGTTGGGGAGAAATGGGAACTTTTAGAAATGGATTTCATTCTTATTTTTTTTCTTAAATGCATTGGAATTATTGGTGATAACTAATCTTTCTTTTAAATTAAAATAAATTCCCCTGTCATTCACCAAAACCCCAAGAAATAACAAACAAAATGTGGTAGATATATTTTTTAAAAGAAAAAAGCAAGAAGAGAAAGGTTTGCATTATAATTCCAGATGATCTCTGCTGCATTAACAGTGTTTGCGTGTGAGTGTGCATATTGAATATATAGATCCTCAGAATACCATCAGACTTTGAGATGAGGACTTTCTTACATTCCTTATTTCTGTCTTTCTCCTCCTACCTTGAGTTAATTTCCATCCTAAAGACATTGGTGTCTTCCATATGCATATAATGAGCTACAGCCATGCACTGCATTATTATAATTACTGTGCACTGCATCACACCGCTGAATGTGAAACAGATTCATTATAATATAACATTACAGGCTTATTCATAAGTACAGTGGAGTTTGACTGATGCTTCATTGTTGGCAGTCTTGAAACATGTTGCTTGTGTAAATTCACTGGTGCTGCTCTTGTGTATTCCTAGGAAAACATACAGCATTTGTGTATGAGTGTGGGTCTTGCAAAAGTAACAAAAAATATGATGTCCTTTCTTTTGTGCAATTATCTATGATGTTCGTATCCAACTGAGTATATCTAAGGGAAGGAAAAAATATCAAGGTGCAGCACTCTTCATGAAATATAATTGTGCTCTTATTACAGTTATTTAAGGTAGGGTGGAAAGAATAAATACTACCACTGTGTCCTTCAGAAAAACAATGCTGAAGTTATTTTTCATCCAATATGTATGTCACTTAGCAATCTCCTAAAAAGAAAATTTGAATTTCTGCCTGGCTTACTCTCATTTAAATTAGTCCTGCTATTGATTTATATGATTAACAACCTCAGTGAAGACTTTGGGAGCACACTGAAACAACATGCTTTAACATGCTTAGTTATAAATAATCAGCATGTCCACTTCCTTCCTTGTATGGAGCCCCTCTTTGGGGCAAATGATGAAGTATCACAGAATGAAGTGTGAGGGATTTGAATGTAAGGGAAGGTGTGGAAAGCACAGAACATATTTTATGTGGCAAAGACAGGTGTGTAACAAAATTAAGGTGCAGAGCCCTGAAATACATGGAGGAATGGATGATGGTTGGGTTAAGTATGTGGATGGGTAGGTTGGAAAAAGTGATCAGAATTTCCACTCTTTCTTGATGAAATAAAACTAACATTGCTGAAATGATGAGATGTGAGAAGTTTAAAGCAGCGTATATAGAATGTGTCACTGGCTTATCTGTGAAGCAAAAAGAAACAAAAAGCACCCTGTAAATAAGGGAACTCATCACATCCAAGTGAATTATTTCAGCCAGCTGTTTCCTTCTTTTATGTCTTCTGGTAGGCAAAGATTATATGGAACTATGAATATGTTGTGGTAAAGTTCTAACAGGAAGCTACAATTAGAACTTGGACATCCTGAGCTTGTCTTCCAGTCATTGGGAATAACTTTTTTCTGGTATTTGCAAAGCATTGGATGTTACTGTTCATGTTCAAAAATGGGAAATGAGGGAGTGTGGGAATCCAGATCAGCAATGCTACTGAATGAGTGTTGTGTCCTGTTACACTGAAACTGAAAGGTAGCAGGAATGTTTTCTTCCAGGTGCTGCCACCAGTGATCCTACAGTAACTCTACTGCAGTGGAAGAGGCAAGAGTAATCTGATCTCAGTTCATGCAAGATGTTTTAGACTACAGGGCACTTGTGGCTGCTTCACCTCCAGAGTGACCGGGGTGGCTCAGTGGTGGCGATGGAAGTCACTGGGAATCCACCTCTGGGCATCCAAAGCTGTTGTGGACATTGAGTGGCATCTGTGCCAATGCTGTGTTATGACATTTGCTCTTGGAGCTCAGAGTCCAGAGGTGAAATGTGGAAAAGCAATGAGTGGTTGAGACTGAGTTTTTGTTTATAAGCTTTTTTAAAATAAATGTCTACTCATAGGGCGTTTGAACACTCTGGGTATAAACTCTGAGACACCGAGTATAACGATAGCAAATGAATTACAATATGGGAGTTAAGTCTCCTCTCCACAAGATAAAAACTTGTCTTCTGAATTTGAATAGATTGCAACTTAGTTTCTATTTTACCATAAAGCCAGGACTGGGGAAAAAAGGAAGGTACAATTCAAACTAACAAAAAATATGTAATTAGCAACAAAATAAGATGCAAGGACAGAAGGTAAACTGAAAGGGGAGTCTACGGTCAATATAGATGTCCTCAAAAGTGTAATGATAGGTGTTTGACAGAGCAGACATTGGAGACAGACATACTGATAGACATACTCATTAGTGTATGGCTAACCTAAAGGCAAAACACAGATTTGCAAAGTACAGTTATGACTGAATAAAATGTAGTATCACAACAAAATGTAGCTGCAGATTTTTTGGCAGAATTGCACTACAATTGCCTTAGGAGAAAAAAACTCTCATGTTTTCTCCTGTTGCTTGTTCATCATGTGAAGTGGAAGCACAAACATGCCAGTGAAATAGATGGAGTAGAGTAAACCCCACGGTTCTGAAAACAAGGGTTTTTTTGCAAGATTTCCTTCAAACCACACTCTTTTCATGCAAAAGTATATGTTAGAGTCAGGATTACAGGTTTACATCAAGTGTTAAAGCAATGTGGATCTTGCACCAGATGAGAAAGCTTTAACATTTTTGTATCTGTGGTCCTTTTTGTAAGGACTTTATTCCAAACAAAGACTTTATTCCAAATGTTACCCAAATTAAATGTGATGGTGGTAGTACTTTTAAAAAAATATATATTTTCATTTACATGTAATTTGGGAAATTAAAAATGCTTACCTGCTTTGATTAGCACTATTTAGAAGAAACCAATTGGAAGAAATAGCATAGAAAGAGCCTTGCTATAATAGATGTTCCTGAAAGAGAGTAGGAAGGCATCAAAAATCAATACAGTTATGTGGCACGTGACAATCAACTTTACCGACAGAAAAAAAATTGATCAGATGCTTGAAATAGCCACATAATATCCAAAGAATTTCATACCGTCTAGTGAGAGGAAAAGCGCCAGAACTGAGTGCAGTTAAACATATCTGCTAGGCTTGGAATTTCATACAATAAAAAATTAAAAACAAACAAACCTAACATCAAAATTAAGGGATTCTTAGTTGGTTTATAAATGATATTTTAATGTTGCACTCTCCTGAAGTTTAATTGAGTAGGAAAAATATGAATATGTCAGAGTTTTAAATTGCAGTGTTTTTAATTACAGCAGAAAATATGTGGAACTGAAATTAGGAGAGTTAAGTTCCTAATGTAGACAGCTTTACTTGTCCACTGTCAAGTTATTTCAAAGCACTAGACAGCTTCTTTGGTCAACCAGAAGGAGAAAACAAGGAAATAAAAAACTGCTGAGAAGTTAACGTCTTTTTTTGACTCATGGCTTATTGAAGAGGAAGAAGCCTTTTTCAATAGATTGGTTTTCTGATAAAAGAGAAAAATCCAAGGTGGTTGTGGTGAATGAGTGAGTTGTGAATGAAAAGATTTGAAACGTTCTATTTCAGAGTTTTAAAGACCTTCATGATGAATAGGCTCACATACTAGAGAAAACAGAGTCTCTTGGGAAAAAGTACTGGCAGTTATTTTCTTGTAGAGTTGATCAGTATTATCTTGGTTAAAGCAATGCTTTATAAAAGCTTATTAAAAATGCCTCCATGTTTGTAGAGTCATACCATGGTAATAAAGGTTTATCTATGAGAATTGCCTTCTATATAGGATAAAAAGTGTAAGCATAGGAAAATAGATCAGTGTATTTTGAGCTTTAGGAGAAAGCTTTATCCTCACAGAAGGATGCAAAACTCACCTTCCAATCACAGGCCAGATGTGAGTTTTCCAGACTGAACATCTGACTTAAAAAAAAATGCTATAGTATATTAAGCTCAGATATATATTCCATTACTGTTTGGGTAGAGCATAGAACTGTATCTGGCTAATTGAGAAAAAATTCCAGTCAGGTTTTCATTCACTTTCAAGAAAATTAAACAACAGTATTAGAAATAAATTATGTAAATAGTAATAATCTTTAGTTGGTTTACATTTTTGGCTCATAATTCTTCATTGTACTATTTCCAAAAAAGGCCTCATCTGACAGTCACCTGCTAAATTCAATTTAAAACTTCATCTGAAAATTATCTATTTAACTGAATAATCTTTCTATCAGGTTTTTTACTTCAGTAATATGTTCTTAGTGATTTAGGCTTATTGTAATGTAATCAAAAGTTATAGCCCTATTAATTCCAGTGAATGTAAGATCATGCTCTGCTTTTGCAAAATGAGGAAATGTATATTCTGACAGCTGTTTTATTAATATATTATTATTTTTTTTAAGTCTTTCATTTGTGGGAGAGAATTCTAATTATTTGAACGGCAACTTCTGCTTTCATTCCTGTTTCCATGGAAACAACATTAGCACAATGAAAATTTTTTAAAAGTGATTATTTTAAAACATTGGAGACTGGAGATTTCATTTAGGGAATTTGGAACCCACTAATAAAAACCATAGAACTTAGATATAAAATAGAAATAAAAACTTTCTGTCACACTACGACATGCAATAACTCACACATTCACTCAAGATGCAAAAGAAGGAAAAAAGGAAGTTTTATTTCTGACTTCACAATATATAGAATTTCAAAAGTGACAGTGAATTGGAGGAAGAAATTGACACCCCTCCAACCACACTGGTATAATCACATCTTCCTATCCTGCATTCTTAGACTTTATTACACCTCAGTCAAGAGAGAGTATGGAAGCCATGAGCTTGAAGAATCGCTTTTTTCTGTTTGTTGTCCTTGCTTTCACTGCCTTTTATAGTGTGTAAAAATGAGATGCATTGTTTTGCACTTACTTTGAAAATTAAAAGATGACAACTGAGGTAATCCATTGAAATTAAGGAAGCTCTTGCTAAGGACATTTTAAACCACTAGGAGATTTTTAAAAGAAAGCATTTTCTGGGCTGCTTGAGCTGCTTCAAGTTCCTGTAATTGAATGTTTCTGAAAATTTTCTCTTCAAAACATCCATAAAATAAGTAAAATCTAATTAGTAAAGACTTATTTTGAAGTAATTTCTGTATGAAACGCTTTAATATTTTGTGGGTTTGTAAACTCTTTGTTCCCATGAAAATAAGCAGAAATGGCAGCTTCCAACAGGTATTAAGCTTTTGGGGTTTTTTTTTTTAATTTTTATTAGTAATTTCTGTGGTGACGATGTCTGTGGTCAATACAAAATGGAAGAAAGTCTCTAGGATCTCTTTCCCTCTAGCATCTCAGAAAAAATACATAATTAAAATTATTAATAACTCCTTTCCTGAAAAGTCTGAGCTCTGTATTTTCATTAAAAAATACAGAAATTAAAATTTTTTCATTAAAAAATTAAATTAAAAATAAATTTTAAAATTTTAATTAAAAAATTAAATTAAAAATTAAATTTTCTTTCATTAAAAAATACAGAAATCCGTTAAACTTTTCCATGAACAAGGAGTTGACAATTCCATATATCTAATGCTGGAATTTGTGTCTGTCACAAACAGAAGGCAGTGAAGGAAAACATAGAAACCCGTTCCAGCCAAGGCTTTAGAGTCTGTAATTTGGGAAGCACTTCTGCTGATGGAAAGAAGGGGGAAAATGCACAGTCTCTGAAGCTACATCTTTCTTTCAAGTTTATTTTCTGTTTTCCAATTCATGTGCAGTTAGTCTAAGAAACTTTAGCTACTAAACCTGGTAATTTATCTTTTTAAGTGGCTAATGATTGCTTTCAGGTTTTCCATATGAGATTGACTTTCCCAAGTGATGATACTTTTTTAATTCTAAAAATAAGGTTAACACAGTAAATAAATCTTCAATTAAAGTAATATTTAATTCTAGGCCTAACAAAATATTTCTGATTGATTTGATCACTTTAATTCAGGCATCGAACTGAAGAGTCCCTTATTCACCTAACTCAATTTTGAGTAGTGAAATTGAATCTCTGATAGATCTCCTTCAGGAGTAAACTCTGAATTTCATTTATTCTGAATAAATTACATCTCAAAGTAATCCTCTTTCTGATTAGTTAGTTATCTAAAACCTGACAGTGATTTTTTAATTCTTTTTTTTTTTAGAGCTATATTTGAATTGTAATGACTTGTCAGTGTAGCCATGTGTTAACTTACGCTTTGTCAGTGGAGTAATTTCCCTCATTCAGTGCTTCCCCTTTGCCCACTGTACTATTACTGCTGTTTCGGGACTTTTTCACACAAAAAATCCATCTTTCTCTAGTGACCATATACTCTGCTATAGTAATAGTGATACATACATTCAGATTGTCTGTTGAAAAATTTGCTATGAAAAACTTGTCCTACTACCAGCTTAGCTGTTTGTTTTTTATAAATATTCTGTTGATCACATAGTTACCAGATGTTTATATAAGAAAAGCATCAGGAAAATTAAGAATTACTTACTTTATGTCATTAATGAGAACAACAGAGTGGAAGAAATAGAAACATAGAAATTCAAAATAAGGCTTCCAGTGAAAGAAACTGGTAGAGAAAGGATAAGAAAGAATGAATGTGAAGAAGAGTGCACATTTTTGCTCAGAAAATATGAAACTTGAGGCTAAAAGACTCTTTCTCAGGACCTTTGAGTTGTCAGAGGCTTCATGGCTTCAGATACCAGTCTTCTCATTGATGTTGGAGCAGACTTGAGCAAAGCAGTCTCAGGCAGAATTTAAACTAAGGAACATACTTACCCACGTTTTTCTCATGTATATGTGCAGTCATAAAAAAAAAAAAATATTCTAAGATGTGAGGAGTTACAAAATCATTTTATGATGACTTACAACCTAGACACTTGTATTTTCATTACCTTGGGTGACATTCAGCATTTCCAATTATGGAGACTGCATTTGCTTTTTGGTTAATCATTATTATGAATAGTGCTTTTCTCTCATGTACTTAAGTGAAAAACTGTTGTATCGATTGTTTTGGTAAGTAGTTCTGTATTCAGAGAATTAATGGAATTTGGGAGTGCTAAAGATGGTTTCTTAAATTACTGAAAGCCTAAATAGGCAAGTCGGTGTTCAAAAGTTTCCAAGACATTCCCATTAGCATCCATTAAATGCAGTGAAGAAATTTCATGGATCTACACTTCCTGCCACATGCTCGTTGTTGCATACGTGACCAGAGATAGCAAGAATCTATTTTGTTTGGCATTGCTAAAGATTTATATAGGCTGAATAATGAACTATGGCATTTTTTTACTCTTCTGATACAGCTGTTGAATCATTAACAGTTTTCTGTATTGTATTTAAATCTATCGAATAGATTAAAAAAACACTGCCTTTAATCAGCATGGCATCATTTTTTGTCCCAGATTTCCCTTCTGAAATTTTGCAAGTATTATTATTGCAATCGCTATTGCATTTTATCAGTAGTGGAAAAAGCAAATTGACAGACATTTTGCTTTAGATGGTTGAAAGGAGTTAAATGTTGGAGTAAAAATATTCGCCATTTCTCTGTGTTATTCAAGCATGTATGTGAATGCCCCTTTTGCTGGTCTCTCCCTTACAGACAAGAGACAGTCTGTACCTTTCTAGAGAGAAGCTGCACAAATTATCTACTCTGTTGCTTTCTTATAAACACCATGGATTTTATATGCTTCATAGACCACAAATTAGAATTACTTGTTTTCACTGTTTTTAAGACATTGCTAATGCTTGAATTATCTGTGGGTATTTATCAAGTTTTTATCAAGGAATTACAAATGAATGTGGTATGGATTGCTAAAAAATGAATATTTGGCATCATGCAGTTTTAGGCAGCATTATATATAATACTTTTAAATATCACCTTAATTTATTCCTCATCCAGTTATTTTTCTAAGATTTTTTTTTTCCTTTTCATCCATTCATTTTCTAACATCTGCAAAGTATCTGCTGCTTTGCTTTTGTAGAAAAATCAATTCATTATTGTCATTTGGTCATACTGCTGAAGTTCAAACACACAGGAAAAGAATGAGAGGCTTTTATATGCTTTGTTAGAGTCATCTATTGTTGGGAAATAAATATCTGCTGAATGTTTTCTGGAAGCTATTTCAAGCATTTGTTATAAGAAAATACAATAAAAGTGGTATAGTAAACCTTGTTAAGCTTTTCTGTAAAGTAACAATAATTTTTAGATCCCTTCTCTTCAAAATGCTAATAAATTGCCTCTGTTTGGTTCTTAAAATAGCATATTAGATGAACTTTGCTTCTTTCAGAACTTTTTTTAAAGGGTAAGTAATTTTGTTGACATTTCCCTGTGTATCTGATCTTCAGGGTTTTAGAAGTCCAAAGAAAAGAGATGTAAAAATGAACATAGTAAAAATGAACTCTACCATAGATATTAAAGATGTATATGGTCGGTTTTATTACTTATTTTAAAATTACATGTTTTGGTAGTGATAAACTGTCCTCTGTACTATTAGTATAGCTGAAGAAACCCACTGGTAATTCCCAAGTGGAAAGACTTGTTCAATTTCTCTTGTGGAGTCTGTCACACTTCTGCCACAGCCTCCTGCCAGCTCTCTGGGAATGACTCTAGACCTAGACTAACAAACCAAAAAGTAGAAATGCTTCATGACTTCTATTGTGTCAATTTCCCTCTTTCCCCTCTCTAGCAAAAGGATGCAGTATTGCATGTTTTTACAGGTAAAAACTGTAAGAAGAGCTAACAGAGACCATTTTTTGTTAGGATAGTGAGTATATGCATAAAGTAGGCCTCATGCTAGCATTTACTATTTTACTCATCGGATTAGCACCATTACCCCTGGGCTGCTTATATTTAGTTGTTATGTGTAGGCTGACATTGAAGTTTAGGGATCAGGCATTTAAGCGAACTGAAGCATGACTCCAAACAAGCAAAACAGATGCACGCAAACAGAGGTGTTTGGGAGACAAGCACAGGCAGTGGTACAAAGGTGTGATTCACTAGATAGACACAGAAACAGTTCAGAAGCACGAATTCATGTCCTTGTGTATTTCTCCCAGGAAGACTGAGGGTGGATCAGCCTGCAATAGTTGTGGATTTATGTACAGAACAGTCCCTTCTGTTCCAGTGCTGTGTGTCCCTGCTTGCTTCTTGGGCTGTCCTTTCAACACAACCAGGTCTTGCTGACTGTATTTTATCTCCTGTAACATCAAAAATAGTTCCTGATGTGAAAAGCCTTATTATTCTATTTATTCATAGTGGGTTTTTTTTCAAAAAGAAATAAAAATCTGTGGAGGTAGAAAAAAGAGAATTTATTGCTGTGGGATCAGGTTGGTCTGTACTTATCACTAGCTACTGTTTTGTAATCCTCACTTGCTTACAGTTTCTGTCTGAATTTTCCACTCTGAGTTACTGTTTTTGTAGATAAAACTTTGATGGAAATGATCAGTGTGTTGTCATTTTTCTCACTGGGGCTTGGAAAAAGCTTTTGAGGTTTGAATTCATTTGGGATTTGGCTATCTTGGCCATGTGCAGTGTATCTGATACTGTCAGTATTGCCTACTCACCTGAATGAATTATAATCAATATAATATAAGCTATTTCTAATATTCATTAGAAAGGGTTGAGTCCTCCCATGAAGAACACAGAGGCTGAGGCCAAACAGGCCTTTTTTTTTTTTTTCCCCCTTTAATTTTTAGCTTGCATGGAGACCACCTGTTGCCTCACCTTGTTTTGTAGCCCTCAGCTGTGGCATGTGTGGTGGTGTCTGTGTCTGCACATGGCTGATGATCTTGCCTACCAGTTTATGACTGTGACTTAGTTTTTCTTGCAGTCTAGTTGTTATTTTAGCTTCATTGACTGTGTGAACCTTTTCTCGGACAATGGCATGTAAACATATACTGGATTCAGCTAAAGATTTCTGTTGGTCTGTTCATGTTCCTTGGCTGGGAAATTTGAAAAAATTGCAATTATTAGGACCATAGAAAAGATGGTAAAGCTGGCCTGTTGTCACCTAGATGTAAACCCCTGCAGTTTTATCTTTCAGCAACAGTGACTGTTTGCAAGTTGAAAATTTTATCTAACCTTACAAACAAGCTTAGAGTCACTTCTCTAAGCTGTGTTAATTAAAACAAAGCAACTGCTACTGCAGGTTGGGAGCAGTATGGCTGTTCTTTAGCAAAACATAAAAGTGCATAAACCTCCCCCTTTATATTTTTTGTCTTCTTTTGTCTCATGTAGCAAGAGTTAACGATGTAGGTGCCATAACTGGATGACAATAGCAATCATATGTTTATTTTGTTCTAGTGGCACCCCTTGACTTAATTTCAGGCACCCTAAGAGAGTAGGACACTGAGACACGGGAGGTGGGATGCTCACCTGGAGGGCTGTGTGTCCCACTTTTCACCTTCTACATACAAGATTTTTTTTTTCCCCCTAATGTGCTTTTCAGCCAGAGAAGTGGTTGTACATGCTTAACTTCAGGGGTGTGAGTAGAAGAAAGTGAGACTGTTCCTATGTAGGAATAAATGTTTCTCTGTTCTTGGATATGTTTCCACCCCATGGCCGGTTTTGTGTCCTCTTGCCCCAGCACTAACCACACAGCAGGAGAATCAGGGAATTTAGGTGGGTTTTATGTGTTGCAGTGAAGGAGTTTTATTAATTTATAAAACACTTAGAAAACTTTGGACAATATCACATCCGGATGTGAAACTTGCCAGCAAGTTGCAGATCCACTTCACTGAGAGCTTTGAGGATGCAATTATTTCATATAGCTATCCAGGTCAAATATGAGCGTGGGTCTCAAGATTTGAAAAATTATTTCTCTACTCATCTTTGTGAAGTAGAATCTGACTTTGGATTCAAAGACGATATATTTTGTTGTTTATTAAATATTATGTTTATGGCACTATAAATACTTCATATATTTTTAAATGAACTGTCAAATACAGCCACAGACTAAAATGGGAGTCACATCTGGACATTTTACAGTTCACTTTTACTTCAGTGCTAAAATTTAAATGCAATTTGTGAAATAAGTCATATAGAATAAAACAATAATGTGGAAAATACCCTGCAGTATTAATTTGTCTGCAAATTAATTTGAAGGAAAATTACTGAGTCTGAGCACTTCTGTGTGCCAAATGTGTGTTTCATGGCCGTAAGCACAGGATGCCTCACTCCATATTCAGCATTTACTTTTACACTGAGCAACCACTGCAGGAAGATGGTTTTTCCTAATGGATTTATAATGACATGGAACAAACATTCCCTAAAAAAAACCCTAACAAAATAATTGCAGGATGAGGTGCTATATTGCTACAGTTTTTCAGGTGTACTCTTTAACCAGTTGCCTTGCTTCTGAATTAGGTGGAAAATAAAGCAAGACAAATATGAAGTAATTCTTCATACTGCTTTTTTATTAGCTGTTTGAAGACTGATTTGGAACTTTTTTTTTCCTTTGAAAAACAACAGGCAGAAGGCAATTTAAATACTGTAATTTATCTTTGATGGATGATGCATTTAAAGTAGCTGGAAGCAAATAATTGGAGCATGTAGCAATTAACATTCTGATCCCACTAAGGGAGCTGCATGTGCTGACCCTCACCATCGGAATGTGGCTCTAAACAGGTATGAGGTCTAGTGCTAGCTAGACTTCAGCTTCAAAGGGCAGTTGTTGCACTTTCCTATGCTGATTTGAAATGAAATGCCAAATGAATCTGTGAAGGGGTTTCTAGCCCATCCAGATTAAGGTGGCCAAGTCTTGTGCTGCAAAAAAAAAATCCACAAGCCTTTTGGGAAGGCATGAAAGGAGTCATGACTCAGTGACATGTCAAGCCCTGTCCTTCCTTAGTCTAAATAATATTAACTGAGTATTATCTAAACCATGTAAATCCTTCTCATTGTTGATGTGGAATCCCTCTACAGGTATCCTGTGTTTTTCTTACTCTGTTTTATTAATGCTTGGTGGAGGAGCATCAGTGGCAGCAGAGGGACTCTGCTGATTCCTTAAATTATTTCCTTGAGGACAGTACAGCTGTAGTACAAGTTTGTGGTGCAGAATGGCCTTTGTGTCCCCTGGAATCAGCTGCTGGCAAGGAAACAATGCAGGTCCTCTCAGGTAAACAGAATACTTCACAATCAGACCTCTGAAGTAAAACACAAAATGGTTCATGTAGTTTTACACTTCCCATTGAAATCAGTGATAAGAATGCAAATCTGTAAAACTAGACAGAGCTGTTACAATCCTATTTCCAGTACATACTTTGCAAAAGCTTCAGGGTGATTCACATTACAAAATTTTGCATGCTGGTTTCACCTTGACATCCTGACGTCAAAAGTATTAAATGCTTATTTGTGCTTCAAGGAAACATTAAGAGCTTTCTTCAGACTTAGGTTAAATTTTCCACTTTTGGTTTTTTTTGTTTTGTTTTTTTTTTGTCAAGTAACCTTGGAGATTTTAACTTTGATTTGAATTTTGTCCATTGTAAATTTAGTTATAAACTGTAACTTTCTCAATGAGAAAATTTAAAGGCTTGTCTTTTTTGCTTTACTTTGACAGTGGAATGCTGATCCACTCATGTCAGTGATTTTTGCATTTGTTCCATTGACATTAATGATTTCTGCTCTACCAGCATTTTAAGTTTTGGGGGTTTGTCTATTTTTTTTTTTTTTTTTTTTTGTTTGCCAGTTAATTTTTTTCCTTGGTTGTTTGCATGCTTGACATTTATAAATATATATTTCACAGGTTTGAAGTTACCTACCTTCTTAAGACCAGAAGCTCATAATAGGCAGTTTGATTAGACATTGTTATTGTCTTATAATTTGGGATAGCTTATGATTTTAACTAAATTTTGATGTATAGGATTACTATTAATATGTATTTTATGTAATGACAGCACTAGGGAAGGACTGTTCTCTACCCAGATCAGTGAATTGCTAAACTGAAGGAGAGATACAGGTGTTCTTGTCCTGATTTATTGAAGAGCTTCACCAAACCCTACACAAAGTAGGGTTGTAAATAATTCGGTTGAAGTATGAAGAGTAACATATTTTAAATAATGTAACAGGTATAATTATATTTGAGGCTTAACATCTTCAATAAATGTTACTAGGTTGTGCGCAGCCCTAGGTCAGGCCAAAAAGTGTGATTATTTTTATGACTTCTCTGGAAAATCTGTTGATATCAGAAGTAATTTTGGTAGTTTCCCACTCCCTTATAAATCACTCTATATTATCTGATGCCATTAAGCATCCCCACATTACTCTGTAGTTTTTTTAACAGGATGAAAAGGCAGAAAAAAAGCTGAAAAACCATCTTTTATACCCTTGGTGCAGATCTGTCTGAGATAAGAGCCCACTTACGATTTTTGTGTTAGCAGTAGTGGTGTCACATCAAATAAAATGAAATCTTACACTGAGTGTTCCAATTAAAGTAATTCCATAAAGTCGACCAAAACCTTTGGTGGAAGAAAAATTTCTGTTTGTCGGTGAAGCTTAAATAATTGACTTGAGGACTCAGTGTTTTTTGTTTTCTTGGTAATCCATCATAACTTTCAAGCCAGAGACATCACAGTCTCATCAAAGTTCTGCTCCTTGCTGTGACTGATTTCAAGACAAGCTTTCTGTTGTACACAGCAATGAAAAGTAAAGAATGTAGAATGATAAAATACATAAAAATTAATGGATTCCTTTATTGCACTCTAAATTGCACTACATAAATATTTTTGAAATGTGCATTCACCTATAATTTTAACCCCTTTTACCCTATCTGTACCTTTTTTACCACTATTATTATTAGAGACCAGAGCATTGTTTGAAGGACTACATTCTGAGATTGAGACAGCAGGCAAATATCAAAACCTTAAGCAATTATTTATGCTCAGCTACATCTATTTGGACTTGTCTGGATGGATGTTAATTCCTGTGTGCATATCTAGTTTGGCTCATTGAGACCAGTTTAACTATTTCCTGACTGATTTCAAGTCGTCTGGTTAATTCCAACAGTTGCAGGCTGGATATTACCTGAGTATTCATATTTTTTGTACCAAACAAAGAAAAACTACTAAACACCTTGCTTCCTTTGTTAAGTCATTTTTGTATGTCTGAGCATAAGGCAAATTCAGCAAAACCAAAAATAGTTTGTCTGCTGAGTCAATTCCCAGCTTCCGCTTATCTTCCTCTTTCAGGTCTTACCCTCAGTTTCAGGTATGGACTGTTTTTTACCTACTCCCTGAAAAACCCGTGCATATTTATTCAAATATAACAGACCTCATAAACAGTGTTACTTTGACCATTCGTCTATTCTTTTCCGTTTGCTCTGGTTTGCTGATTTTAATTTTATTTTTTTATGGTTTAAACTAGATACTCCTCAAGGTTCAAGTTCTATGAAAAATTGTAAAATATCTAAGCTATACTGCTGTGTAAATTCATAATGGTTTAGGTTCCATTTATTTATAATAAGTAACCAAGTCACTCACAGCATTCCTTTTGAGTGAAGCATAAATGAGGTTGTATCTCTCAGGAGGTGATCTTGTAATAATTTGCTTATTTAAAAAGATATTGTTTGCATTCTTTCTTGCAAGAGCTATAATATGAGAAGAATATAGTGTAAAATAAGGGAAAAATGTTGAAGTGGCATATTTTAGTGTTTTTTTCAAGATGCCTCCTAAGAAACAGCTCTGTTTTATATTTAGAAAACTTCGGTGTCTGTGGAACATCATTATACGTGATATATGAACTTTAATACAAGAAAATTGTGGGTTCAGACATAATACAGTCATTAAGTTATATTCAGATATCATTGCTTAAGTGCTCAAAGGCTTCAAAGTCAATGCAAATCATTGGATCCTGGAGTGAACTTACTTGATAAACTGCTGTGTTCTTCATTGTGCAAAGCAGTGGAGATTGCTGGCACTATCGATTTTAATACTGGAAAACAGAAATATGATCTCTCAGGGGAGCTTGCCCTTTTAAATAGCAATGTGAGCGTTAAAATTACACCTTTATTTAATATTAGTGCTTGAAGGCAACTTCAGAAGAGAAGTAGCATTTATTCACTGTTTGAATCAAGGTACCGTGTCATAGGTAGTGTCATACTCAACAACATTTTATAAGTCTATGAAGGGCTCCACAAACATAGCAAATTTCAAATCTAAACCAACAGCTATGAGTTTTAGATGTGTATCCATGTATTTATGGGAGTGGAACACTAACTGATACTTAGTAGTAGAAGATGTAGTAGCAAGAGGTGGCAGTAAAATGATGTGTAAGGAGGAAAGAGCCAAGAAAACAATATGTTTCATTCAGTATGGAGACAAGAAGTAAATAACTACTTTATAATTGTGTGTTACTCTATATAATTGAGATTCTTCTTGGAGAAAAATAAATAAGAATATCTGGGAAGTACTCTACTTCAGTAATTGATTAAAAGGGTCAACAAATTAGGCATGTACTGTCTTATGCACAGGAAACTATTCCTGAGGCATTGGTTCTCACAGATGTTTTTGATGGTGGGCTTAGTCAGGATAATGAACTACTAGAATTATAGATGATATGTCTCGGGAAAGATTTCTTTGAATACTAATCATCTTGTGGTGCTAGGTATACCTGTTTAGTGACTTTTGGTGTAGGTGCTCCAATAGGATAGTAAGTGACATTGAATTATATCCTGGGTGTACCATCACCAGTACTCTATTATTACAGTAAATTCCTGTATGTTATTCAGGTAGTTCTTAAAAAGTGTGACCTGTTTCATATAGGTGAAAGTAGCTCTTCCAGGAACAGAAATAATTAATACTGTGTTTATTTGCACAAGAGTACCTAATTTGCAGGTTTTAGATTGAGCTGTAGGGTGGCAAAAAGTAAATGGCACCTGAAGTTTCATTTCACCACCACCAAATTTTAGTTTGTACAGCTGGGGGTTAAATGTGGATTTTAATTCCCATTTTTTGTGGCTTTTATCAGTGCTCAGCTGGTGAATGGAGCAAGAGCTCTTAATTGGAAAAGGATGTTTTGTTCTAGGCTGATCAGGGTAACATGATTTGTACTTCTCTCCTTTCACAGAGGAATTCCTGTGACGGATTAAGCATCTCTACTGAGTTGTTAAGCCTGAAGAGTTCAGGGTATTCCTTACCCCTCAGTATTAATCCAGTTAGTCTATCTATAGCAGAGAGAGAAAAATTAATAGTTGTGTGCCCTGCTCCTGCTGTGCTGTAGGATGCAGTTCTGCAGCTTCATATGTGGACTTACACATACTGTGTGTGTCTATAATATTGTTTCCTTTGTTTCAGTTTTCCTAACCTCATTAAGAAAATTTGTCATCTTAGAGACTAGAATTGGAGGAGAAAGTTATTCCCAGACAGGCTGTAGCCTCATCATTCGATCACATCTGGTGAATAAAGCAAAGCATGTAAGGAGGATGAAGGATAAGGTACATGGGAGCCAGCAGCTGAGTGAGTTCATGTGCAGAAATAATACAACTAAACAACTTGTTCAACTGAGCATTAAAGGGTTAAGTCAAGGTAAGGGGCACCTGAACATGCACGGTGTCAGACACTGCTTGAACGTGAAGGAGCAATACAGGAGGGGCAGATGGCACAGCCAGGGCCCAGAGCTCAGCTGGTTCGCTTTGAGGCTCTGTCTTTGTGCATGTGCAGGATTGTGGCTGACTCACAGGGGAGTCAGTCCAGCCCTGTACAATTATAAAGCAATGATAATTTTGTAGTCTTTAACCTTAAGAATATTGTGGCTTTTTGGAGGAAGCTTTTCATTATATTCCAGCAAATTTACGATAGGTGGTGGTAGTGTTAAGAGATGAAAAATGTTTGACTACAGAAATGAAATACAAAATTTGGGGATGAGATACTGCATTATAATGAACAACAAACTTCTCAGCTGTCTTTTAAGTTCATTTAAACCTGTAGTACCTTATCAAGCAAAAGAAAGATACTGCAATATTTTTGTAAAAATGTAGAGACCTCTTAAATTTTTACATTGATTGGAGAATGCCAGTACCAGGTTTCTCAGAGGTAGCACAAGGAAACAGAAGTTGACATTTGCTGTCAACAGAAGTTGACAGGAGTCAGTACTGAGAGTCAGTCAAGACAGAGGAAAGGCCAGGGAGGTGAGCTGATGGACTGCCTGATTGCAGGAGAGGCACATGAGCTGGTTTCTGCTCTCCACACGGTGCTCTCAGAGATGGAAACAGAGCCTATGCTTGTGCCTCCTGGCAAAAATTGGTTTCAGGAGGTGCTGCTGCCCTCACTGCCTCATCTGGGGGGACTAGGAGCACTACCATTTCTTTTTCTTCATGGTCATCAAACTAAGTCTTTCTTGTTTTTTCTCTCCACAAGTGGAGAGAAACCACACCTGGTGTGTTTGAGATTCATATAAACATTGCTTCTGAATGTCATCGTGTAGTTCTTTATAAGAACACAGCTGGGAAATTTTGTCTTCTGTTATTTGTGATGCAATTAATGAATCCCTAGGAATAATTTCATGATTTTTGGTCCAACTCTCCATAAATCCATTAATTTATTTGTCTAAAATAAGAGCACAGGCACGGAAGTACCCGATAGTATGTTTCACTAAAAAAAAAAAAAATAAAATAAAAAGAAACTAACTGCTAGCTCCCTCATCAAATTCTGAATATGAACTAAATACTAATATGCAGTATGTGTTTCAATTTTTCTGAATACTCAAGCCTTGGAGAAACACTAGCAGCTTATCTTTTTTGCCTGGAAGTTGAAAACTTTTTAGGTAAAGACTCAATTTCAAAACCTTGTAATAACTTCATCATAAATGCAAAAGGTAATGTGATAAAGTAATGGTTATATTTACAAACTGATATTTTTCAGTGACAGCATTTCTTTGATTTGTAAAAAAATCCATTATTTTCAAAATGGATATAATAAATTTTTTACAATATATTGAAAATATTAATTAATTACTGTAATAAATTACTATCAAACTTACTGATAGAAGCAGTTGTTGTAATGAGTTTTGCATCTTGAACTATAAATAATCCTTCCATACGGGATGAAAAAAGCCCACAAAGATAACCTTTTTGATTGAATAATTTAAAAGAAGATTATATATTCTTATACAAAGAAGTCAGGAGTGCAAAAGCATTTTGTACAAGAACTCTGTATTTCTTTATGTCTTGGCTACTTTATGTGAGGGGCTTAGTGACCTTTTTATTTGGATCCCTGTAGTTCTATCACACTTTTTTTTTTTTGTTCCTGTTTTTGTGCAAATAATTATAGGCTCTCTAAAAGCCATCATCTGAAGTAATCTTAGTTGCACCCACAATATCCAAATTACTGAACATTTTGTTTCTGTGCTTGCCCAGCGTGTGCATCAACTACCAGCACACTGCCCCTCTCTGAGAGGTGGATCACCTCAGCCAGTTCCTGCCTGTGGTTAGTAAATGTTGGCACTATGGATTGCAGATAATTGAACCTATCATTGATGACTCTTAATGGCAACACTCTGCAATTCCATGCCTGGAGTGACGCCGTGGGAGGGCATAAAGCTACTACACTCTATGCTACATTGACCAAATTCAAATTAACCCACTGCTGAAAAGTTTGTCACATCTGTATTATCCCAGACAATGGGATAATATTATCCCAGATGCAATGGAGTGTGTTTTCCAGGGATGTCTCTGTTCAACAGGGTTCTTAATTTTCCCCCATCACTTTTAAGAATCAGCTAGGGTAACCATAGGACAGAGAAGGGGGCTGGTCATAGTCGTGCTGTTCCCACACATATTATCAGTGTGTGGCTGATTCATTATGGGTCAGCAAAGTACCTAACCTGTGTCTGATGTCGTTCTCTCTAGATGTAGAAGTGGACATTTTTGGTTTTTCTTATCTCTGGTGCCACACAGCAAATTGATATTTTGAAGACACCCGAGGAAAAGAATATATTAGTAATTACAGTTCTGAGCACCTATCATGGAAGTGAAATACCGAGGAACGAAGACACAATAACTCCAGAAGCTTACTCTTTGAAGGTTTCTCCTCATACAACTTGTAAAATCTGACAATTATTTAAGGTTTCAACATTTCCATTCTTATCTTTACTAACAATGGAAGATACTTATAGTTCGGACTTCAAATATTAAGACATTTAAACACTGTTCAAGTATGTTTAGCATTTTGTTGTGGTTCCAGAATTTCCCCGATGTTTTGTTTATAGAATTTGGCCTTTATAAGCATTTGAGAACTCCTTTTGCATAAATAATATTTCGTTTTTACAATTCACTTTTCAGTATTCGAAATAGGAGAGGCAGCACTATATGTCAGTGAGTTTGGTTAAAAGAAAAACAACAACAAATAGATCAATGGTGTGCTTAAAATAGAAACTACCTGTACAGAGTGTTTAGGGCAGCTTGCAGAGACACATCCAAAATTTACCTGCCAGTTGTCTTGGTGAGTCATTGCTCTTACTGTGCAGGTATTCAGAGTAGCTTGTGTTGCTTAAACCTGATTTCATTTCACTGACGCACCAGTGATCAAGTACTCCTTATGTCCCTTTGATCCACCAGATTGCTTCTTTCTATCCTGCCAGCTCCTTTACAGCATTATGAGGCATAACCATTTCAGAGGAGAAGATTTTTCAGATGTTCTGTTGGTCATGACATAGTGAAGCCATGACTTTACTCACAAATATTTTGTATATGCTGCATTTCTGTGTCTTGGGGAGGAAAGTGAAAGCTTATCCACCAAGCAATTGACTGGCCCATGATGGCCCTAAGAGTAATTATTTCCTAATGATCTGAATAAAAACAGATGGAGTCTAGACAGAATAGCATTAAAAAAAAAAAAAAAAAGAAGTGAGACTGTCAAGATGAGTTTATGAACTACTGCTGCTTTTGATTTACTGTACACTTGGAAGACAGTGCTTATTTTCTAAAGAATAAACTAAACCCCAAGTATATTTAAAACTGAGCTTACTGGGATGCACTGGGACCACATTAACTCTGAGGTGCTGGGCTGGGCCATGCTGCTTGACCACCTGCTAAAATGCAAAGTTGTGTTACAGCAACAAAGTATCAAAACCAGGCCACAGAAATTCATGATGCTTTAGATATATCATCCATCTTTTTATTCAGTTAATTCTCTATGCTGCTTCTCATCCCACCTTTTTAAATATGGGGCCAGTGAAGACAGTCTCATTTTTAACGTCAGCATTCAAAAGACCACAAGAGAAATATTTTGTTGGCCAAGGTTGCTTTTAGTGTAGTTAGCATTCTACAGAAAAGCACAGATTAAAGCACGTGGCACAGCCTTGTAGTGTGATGTCTCAAGTCAGACTTGTGGTCTCACCCATTTTTTGTACTGAGCGTTACTTGCTTGCATTGCCAGCATCCTCTATGGTTAATGCATGAGCCAATTCACAGATCTTTCTTCTTTTATTACTTTTTCTGTGCTGGGAATAATGTGCCCACACTTCCTTAGTACTTTGCACTGTTGTGTTTCTCTTTCAATCCTAGGCAAGAAAAACAGACTGAAATCACAATTAAATATTAATAGCTTAGAATACTCAGGGTTTGAAAATTACCCATTACTTTTATCTTGGAAAATAAAAATGTTTATTCATTAGTTGCAACTTTATGAATCAGTTATTTAGTGGAACATTAATTTTTTTTGTTTGTTTGTTTGTTTGCAAGAGTAATTGTTTGGCTTTTCTTTTGCTTCTGGTGAAATTTTCTTTGTGTGTATTACATGCTAACATGGCTCTAAAAAAGCTTCTCACTGAAGTTATTCTTGGCCTAATTTGCTGCCTTCTTAGAAGAGCTTTGCAGCAGGGTTAAAATGGTGTTTGTGGCTGTGGACTGCAGAACCAAATATCCTGATCCTGGAAACCACACTCTTTCTAAGAAAAGAGACTCCAACTACAGGTGCTATCTTTGGATTTTTTCCTTAGACACTGATACTCTTGATAGGTCAGTGATGCTCATACTTGAACTGGCTCTCAGGTGCAATAAGGGATATTTCTGTCTCTGTCATGAAAAAAGGACATGAGGAGAAGCATATTTTATCCTTCTACCTACAAAAAACTTTAAATACCTATCCAGTCCTGCTGTTTCCATAGGAAATTCAAAACTTCATGTTCTTATGAGTTCTTAAAAGTAAGAAGGCATGCCTGGGGCTCTCTGATATACGATATAACTATCAGTGGAAGGAAAAAAAAACAAAACTGTAATATAAGAAATTACCTCATAACCTTGCAAAGACAGTTCATATTTTTTGGCCACAAGTAGAATGCCAGTTCAAAATAGAAATTCTGCTTGGGTTGGAAAAACTGGAACAATGCTCAAAAAGAATTATTCTTTCTCATCAAATAGATACTTTGTCACAACAAAATTGTCATTTCAGATGGTTAGAATGCTTCTCATATGGATTATTGCTTGGTATTGCACAGTTTTTTTTTCTCACCAGGAGATAGAAAGATTACTGTTTGATGTATAATTGAGTATATATAAAAAACTTGTTTTAAAGATGGCATGAGTTTAAAAAAAAAAAAAAAAGAAAGAAAATGTATGTGAAAGATGCTAACTCAAGATCCTACCATAATGTTCTCTCAATTATAGCAGTTCATGTTTTATTCATTTGTCACCCTTGGCACTCGATTACATCATATTCTCATTGGAAATACAAAGAGTGGATTCCCACTCTCTTTCTTTTTTTTTTGCTTGTTTTATTGCGGATGTGCTTGAAAAAAGAAGCATGTGTTCAGCTTGGTCTGAAGGGGGTGAACTTCAGAGCTCTCCAGACCTGTTCTGCAAATTTGTCCCATTATACCAAGTGAAGTGACCCATCTTCCATGTTGGGGGCAGTGTTCCTCTGTGCTTCTCTTTTGTTAAGGATGGGCACTCAGGAAATGAAAAGCATATCCAGTAATTGTCTCAGTCTTGTAAGATCTTAAAAGTTTCAGATTGAAATGTAGACGTGGAGCTGGAATACATTAGGAACTTTAATATATGGAAGAATGTTATGGATTTGGGCAGTTGGTTTTCCTGGGTGATGCTCACCTGCTTGGACAAAGGGATCAGCTGTATGGAAGGGTTGCTCTGGCTTCTGTAATGTGAGATCCTGCTGGGGCTGTACATCTGTGATGGTTTTAAAATAACACTGCTGAGCATGCTCTAAGTGTACAGTATAGTCTGTGTGTGCCACAGCTCATAAAACTGACAGCATCATCGACGATGGAAATGACATTTAGTTCAAACTCTTGGACATTGCCAATTTCTGAAAATTTCATGTTGAAAACTTTTCTGCCTAGCCATGAGGCTGAACAGAAGAATTAGCAAGATGGTACAAATCACAGTATACATATTGCCATAATTCTTGGATGATTTTCAGTAGAAAAACTAGAAGTAAAAACTTGACTATCTTTCAAAGTGTTTGCACAAGCACTTTTGCAAGTATGTGCCACCTATTACTCAGTAAGAGAAATTCTAGTTAGCCTTCAAAAGTCTTTGCAAACCCAGATAACCTTTTTTGAAGCTCAGACATGAAAGATAAAGTCTAAGAATGTGTATGTGCATATATCTCAGTTTAAAAAAAATTAAGGTGCCCAATATGACTTTCTAGGTCAGTGAAATAACTGAGCTAATAGCAGAGCATGCTGTTGTACATAAGACCATGCAGTTTGGCAGATTGAATTGATTGTCATGTTCTGACTTCCTCTAAGGAGGACATGGGGTATATGCATGTAAATTGAAATGCCATAGCAATTATGGAGTTATTTAAAATATTTATGCATGACACTTCCATCTTGCAATTGAATTATAGTATTTATTCTTATGCTGGTTGATGATCTTCTGGAAGATATTTGCAAAAAGAAATCTTTTCACTTTTGCCAGTAAACCACTCTTGCTTTTCCTTCTGATACAGTTCTTCTCTTTTTTATATACAGTTGTAGAACATGCCTAACCGTCCTTATTCTAAATGATGAATGCAAGATCAATGACCAATACAATATCAAAAAATCCTGAGAAATTTTCATAACTTAAAAATCATAAGTAGGATTTTTATCTATAGCAAAGATGAATAAGTCTGGGAACAGGGAAGCTTTCCGGAAAGAATTACATAAATAAAGCTAAATGTTCTGAGCAAGATTGTTTTTTTCTTCTTTTTCTTTTTGTCTGCTTGGTACCCTCAGAGAGAAACATGAGAAACATTTTATTTCTAGGCAATATCTTTTTATTTACATCCACTCAACTCATTAGCACTAAAAAAAAAAAAAAAAAAAAAAAAAAAAAAAAAAAAACTTGTACTAGATGAAATAATTGCTGCAAGCTGCATGTTTAGACACATTGTACAAGTTAAATGTACGGAATTCACCCATTGGGATCCCTCGTGCCCCTAGTTTGTCATTCACTCCCAATTAGGATTTTTCTGTAGAGCAAACAAACAAAATCCCTCAAGGACCAATTCTTCAAGGTGTTGAGTGTACAAAGAAGGTGAATGTCCCTTGATTGAGCTGAAGTCATCTCTCAGAAGTTCCCACCTTTGTTGAGACTGATGTGCTGGAGTATCCTGTACCCACTGTAATCATTGGAGAGTTTTGATATTTTCTCTCCTCTCTTCATTCTCACCACCACCATTTTATTTTTTCAAATGTGTTTCCATTACATTAGACCATTTTTCTGTGGTACGGAGTTGGTTTCTTTTTAGATATTCAGAGATGGTCTACTAATGGTCTACAAGCTCTGATGAACTTTTGGAGTCTATTAAAAAAGTGCAGGTTTCTCATAAGTAGATTTGCAGTAGGTCCACACCATTGTGGAAGCTGGAAGAGGTGTCTGTTTTCCTCCAGCTTCCCTTTTTCCACCTGTGTGGCTTAGTATAAGACACAAAGTATATGACGTTTATAACTGCTGCTCTTAAGATATTGAGGATATCTAACTACATCTTTAATTATTTTCCCCATGTTTTTATTGCAGAAAATTTTAAAGAGTTTGCTTTAATTAACACTGATGAGTCTCTGGCCACACTGTAAATTCTGAGCTTGTGCAGGAAATGTATCTGAATCCCTTTCAATGTAAGGAGGTTTTGGCATATGCTGTGCTCCATATGGAATCATAATGGCAATTTTCTTAGTCCTCTTTTCTACAGTCAGTCTTATTTTTGATGGTACAGCTTCTTTTTTTTTTTTCCTTTTGAAATATAACAGTAACAGTTTGGAATGGGCTGGTGATAGATATGATTCTACATGTCTGTCCTCTGGGTTGGTGGAACATGAAATATTAGATACCTTTCGCAATTATGCTGCTGTCGAGTTTAGGTTTTATATGGTGAGAAGTGATGCAATATTTCAATTGAAAAGTATCTACTACTGCTAAGAGGATGCAGGGGATAATTCTGATGAAATGAAATCCCTATAAAAGTCTGTTTAAAACTAATTCATCCTCGTGAATAGCTGCAGCCGTGAATTTAGGTAGCAGCCTTGATGTTTCAAGAGGAAATGAAAGAAGTTTGTTCTTTGCCCAGAAAAACCCCAGAGTAACATTGATAAAGCAGTTAAGCAAACTAAGTTTCAGAAATGGTTTTAGCATATCAATGTCAGAATACTCTGTGGCTTCCAACAGGGCCTTGCAGAAGATGTGAGATCCAGGCTCTGGCCAAAAGAGTGTGCAGAAGACAATATTTGTATTCTTCTCTTGCCATTTATTGACAGTACCTGGCACCCAACTCTTGTTTTGTACAATTGGTTTGCTGTTATGTTTTGCCAAGGACAAGACGGTGCATAGCTGAAGGATATCATGAATCTCAACGTCCCGAAGTGCTCCTACCTCTATGAATAAAAAGCTAATTAAAGTAGGAAGTCAGTGAGTTTGGAAAGGAGGATTTTTTCCTAGTCAGTAGAATGACTGGAAATAAATGGATTGATTAATTAAAATCAGTATATCTACTTACAAAGTGAGGTACTGGAGCATGATTTATGTGAGGAGTTATTGCGCTGGACTCTTTGATCCCTTGCTTTGAGAATTAAATGTAAAAGTCTCATTCTCAGTTTCAAGGTTGAATACAAATGCTTGTGAGCCGGCCCTTGTTAAATCGTGTCCTGTCACTCTCAAGCATTCAAAACTTCCATCGAGGCCAAACACACAAATTCCTTCCTTAACCTCTAATTTCCTTGCTGTTGCTACGTGGAGTTAACCCCCATGAAAATTTACTAAAGTGAGGGTTTTTTCCAGTCTTCCTATAAATCTCTCTCTTTGTCTCTCATAGTGCTGTATAAAATTTGTTGATGAGAGATTAAATGTGTGGTACTTACATGCTGGTTAACCATCATAGGAATAATTGATTGTAACTATTCCCTTTCATGCCAAAAGATTTATTAGGCATGCTCCACTGGAGAGATAATGTAAAATGTTTTACCGAATGTTAGATACTTACTTAGGGCTATGTCTTGGTGTTTTATTATAAAGTGTCAGGAAATCTATTTGTATCAAGGAAATATTTATAAACATTCATTTTGGAAAGTTTCCAAGTGGCTGTTGGATGGTTCCAGACAGAAACATTTTTCTTCCCCAGTAAAGACACACAGAAAAGACAATTGTGAGCCCTTCAAATAAAGATAGACCAAGAAATGTAATACTGATAATATTCATTAAGGGAATGGCATGAAAAAAATACAGAAAAGAAAAAAATTTTCTTTCGGAAATAGAAAACAAAACTTTTGAGGCAATCAGATTTTATGTTTTCTGCTGAGAATAGTTCACAATGTGAGACAGTAGTAACAAGGATTCTGAATAAAGTCCATAGCAAACCCAGGGGAATCTATGCAAGGGAAGGGGAACTAACATTTGTATGTATAGAGTTTACCCAGAAGAAATTAATGAAAGAAATTTCCACTTGATGCACTGAATGAGCTGAAAGGGTGTCACAAAAAAAAAAAAAAACCCCAAAAAAAACCCCTAACCAACCAACCTAAACCTAAACAAACAGCCCTCAGAGAAACCAGTCTCATGCTGTTTTCAGTCTTTGTTGGCCAGTTGCATGGGGAGATGTCCCAGAGTTGTACCTGGAGTTGATCCTGCTGCTGGGGAGCTCTACCCTCATCATCTGGGTCTTGGGGGTTTTGGTTGTTTCTAGTTTAGTTGGTTGGTTGATTTGGTTTATTTTTATTTTAGTTATAGGGAGTTTTCCACCTTAGGATTTTGTACCTTTTCATATCAGTGTTTGCTTTTAAATCTTTGAGCTGCTAACTGCCCACATCAGCACTGAGTACAGTGTCTCGAGACTCATAGGCCTGTGGGGAAAGAGGAAAAAATGCCTCCCAGGTCTTCTTCTGGACTACTACACTCAGTAATAAGCAGCACAACATCTCTTAGAGTGAATTTCAACAGTAGACATAACCCACGCCCTCTAAAGTACTGATACATCCATGTAGGGAGATGAGCTAGATCTCCGTGCAAAGGATGGAGGACTTGCATTTCTCTGTGTTATACCCCTGTCTAATCTTTTTACTGAGTTGCATTAAAATGTAAGGAGGGAACAAAAGCCTGGAATGAGTATTTAAATGACAGTGTGTTTGCATGTTGAATTGCAGGAATGAAGCCCAGTGGTTGAGGTAGCTGAGTGAGCTGTGGCAGAGGTTTAGGTGGCTTCAGCAGGACTACTTGCATTCAGCAGTTTGAATTTGAGCCTCAATTCTGGTAGTCTTTTGCATTTAGGATTATTTTTATTCATGGCATGGGATCACCTCTGTTATCAATCCTCAGCAGACTTCTTGATAATAATTTTTAGTTTCAGTTACAGGCAACTTGGTTAAACACCATTTGTTTTGGGTCTTCCTTCTGATCTTCGTGGTATCCAATTAGTAGTAGGAGATATTTAACCTTTATCAGTTAACCATGGCTTTGCTGACCTACCATCAAAATTTTAGCAATGTCTCTATTGAAAGTACTGAAAAGTTTCACAATTTTAATGAAAATATTAGGAAGAGGTGGGATAACACGGTGACTTTGCTGTCTGCATCAGTGGATTCAACTGCTGTTTCATCCTGGTGCCTTGAACTTCGTATGTTATTACAATGGCTTTCAATTCTTTGATTTATATGTGACTTTAGAACATAACTTTTTGCGTTTTAGTTCTGTCATTTATTTTTAGATGTATTTTCTCAGTAATTGAAAGCTGTGATGCTTCACTAAGGAGAATGATAGCATAAAAGAATCAGCCTGCTGTGATTCCAACATTTCACTTTGAACCGTCAGCTAGCTCCATGATATGTAACAATTTTGCTTTGAAACATGGGATTTCAGTCTATAATCTATAATTATTGCTGATTTATAAGGTAATTTAAATTAATTTAAGTATAGTATTAATGATTTCTCCGATAAATCAACTGAATAACAGAAAACATTTGTGCTATTTTTCATCATTATTTGGTTGCTTTAGTTGTATTTGATTTCTCAGTTTTATTAATTTGTCATGCTTTTCAAATTGCACTAGTCAAATATATAAACCAAAACCCCTAAGAGCACTTGAAGTTTCCAAGGAAAAAAAAGAATGCATAAGGTGAATGTGAACTCAGTTCTTAACAAATAGAATTGTTTACTTGTTTATCATTAAATAATTGTTCTTTTGCTTGTCATCTTAGAAGACTCATGTCCTAGGTTTTCCATTTATTTCCAAATTGTCATGGTTAGGTAGTTTTCAGAAAATGAACATAATTTGTGTACACACAAAATATATAATATATACAATGTGTTTAGTGTATAGTTACAAACATGTATATTAGCAGAGGACATACAGATAATATTGGCAAAAAAGAAGTTCCAATTGAATAAATTTTCTCTTTTTGTACAAGTATGAGCAAATTCTTATTAGATATAGTTACCATTTTCCTCTAGTAAATTGATATTGTCAGAATGAGAGATTATCCAAAAGATTCAGAGTTTCAGCAATCCAGGTAATATAAAATTTTTAATTTCTTATGAATCTGTATCCTAATTGAAAAGAAAACCCAAAACCATAATGTTTGCCTAGTCCTTATAGCTGTATTTCTTATTTCTAATGGTGAATCCAGAAATGCAGTCCCTCAGCTCCTTTGATACAGAGCCCTGTCTATGCATAAGAGGGCATTACAGTTAAATCTGCAACCCTATCCTTCTCCCACAGTCAGTAATTGGCTATTTACTGTTACAGAAAGAAAAACCCCCAAAAATACAATAACAACATCAGATTTTTCTGTAGTAATTTTTTTGTATCTCTTTTTGTGAATGGCTTTCAGCAGTGATTACATCTTGCAATAGAATTTATTCCATTAGTAGACCAATGTATGAGAAAATCTGTAATTCAGATTTTAGGTAATTAAAACATTAGATATAAATGACAGGTGAGTCTAAGGTTATCTTTATTTTTCTGGTCGTGTATCACTTGATAGGCTGAATATAGGAGTTGTAAGCAGTTGCTGCTGCTTAACATTTCTTTGCTTTGTTGCCAACAGAGGTTAAAAAGGATGCCTCCCTTTGCTGTCATCCATCTGTGCCTCCTCAAACCACAGCACATCCCTTCCCTTCTGTTCCATGATGGCCTTGTTCAGGTGTGGGGAGCCTAAGCATGGCAGTGAAGGAACAGACAGCAGGAACCTTCTAAGCAGTTTTTCAGCTCCTAAAAATATTATGGGGAACCTAATTTGCAAAAAGTCAAATAGTGCCTGGACTGGGCTTTCTGAAAGCAGGTGGATCACACCACATTGTTTAACTCCCCTTGGGTACCCTGCTGAACCAGAGAGTCAGAGCTTGGTCTGTACTTCTCTAACACTCCATTTGTTTCTTCTCGTGGACATATAAAAACCAGAAAAAACAGTCACAAGGTGAAGTTTTAGTGGAGGTGGTTGTTGTATATTTTTATATGTATATTTTATGGCCTCCTTTATAATCATCTAACCCTCTCTAGAATATGTCAAGATCAATTTTAAATGGTTCTTTTGTTTTATTTATTTATTTATTTATTTTTATTTAACCAAGTTTTTTTCCCTGTGGTTGAAAAGCTGTTGAACACTTCACTCCATGTGTTCGTAATCTGAAGTAACACATAAGGTCAAGGTGCTCAACAACAAAAACGCAGTTGCACTCTGGTGACAGTGGTGGGACTTGTTTCCAGTCTGTAATACTCTAATAATATAGGAAATTTTGCCCTCAGAGAGGACTAGTCTTTCTTTACTGCAGCTGCGAGCAGACAGTAAGCAAAAATCAAGATGAGATCTGTAAAGATGATCAGTTTAGTTTAGAGATCTGAAATGAGTTGAAGGGAATACTTCACTATGTCCATGAAGTTTTCTAGTTGTTCATTTTTGTTATATGTGTTTGAATACCATTCTCATTCCTTCTCTCTTTTTTTTCTTTCTTTTACCTTCCATCCATCCATTGTCACGCATTGCATTCTTGATTACAGTCTGTGTAATCGTTACCACCGTGTGAAGGCAACTTCCCACGTCACCAGGTACAGTGTCACACGTCAAGAAATGTTTGTGTGTTCTCAAACCTATTCAGTGTTATGATAGCAAATTTCTCCTACGTTAGCATCTTTTCTTCCTCTCTTCCTTTCCCATTCAGTATGAAATAACATTGCTGCAGGAAAGTGATTTTTAAAATTAATGTCTTTAAAAAAAAAAGTTTCATTTTCTGGATGAAAGATGTACTGTCTTAAGGGCTAAAAAGCAGTACTATATGGATTTTTGGTTGTCCACAGGTTATGGCCTGGAATATGTAGTTTTTTATTGGATTAATAAATGCTATGAAGTTTTATTTTTGTAAAATCCTTGAGCTGCATTGTTCAGTTATGTTTTATTGTGATTGGTTTATGTTAAAAGCCTGATACTCTGCTGTAGTTTTCATTTCTGTAATGGTAAATACAGATGGATAAATTAGTGCTTTTGTCAATGATTAGTGTTCTAGTTTTGTATCTAAACTGTCATTCTTCAGTGTTTATATAGCCTTTAGAGACATGTTATTTGCAGGTTGCTACATGGCTAGATGATTTTTTTGAGAAAGTAGTAAGATCCTGAAGGTGCTCATTTACATGCAAATTTTTATAACTTTTAATGATGGTTCTGAACATCATTGGCTTGTAGCTTGATTACTTTTGCATGTAGCAGAAGAAAATGTCATTAAAGAGCTGTTGCAAGAAACTGTTTTTTGCAATAGTGGAAAACCGTGTCTTACAACAGGTTTTTCAGGGATTAAAATTAATGTAATTATTGTTAGTTCATGAGCTTATGCACATTTATTATACTTAGACATGTGGAACATGAATCATCTTTCAAAGCATTCTTCTTACAAGATATAAAAAGGAACAAGTGTTCTTTCTAAATGAAAATTACCAAATTCAAAACAGGTAAAAATGATTGCAACCCAATTGCCTCTGATGTGACACATCTCATACACCATTTCTAATGCCAGTCCTTTCAGTTGAAAATTTATTTTGGATCAGCTTACAGTCATTATGGCTCTGTAAGCTGCAATGTACCTAGAGGTATAACTTTTTCTGAATGAGGAAAAAAAAGCTTTGAAAATTACACAGTGACTACTTATAGGCTTTTCAGTTATATCTCGCCTTTTTCATTCTGATATCCAGTGTCTCTGCAACAACTTCAACAGCATAATCATTTCCCCATTTGAATATATTTAACTTACTGTATCAGTTCTTCTTTCAGTAGGACACTGGTTGTTTTGTCTGTCCCTTCAGCTTCAGACTGTAAAATGGTAATAAATTAGGTAAATGGTAATAAATTAGGAAAAAGGAAGTAGCAAGTACTTCTTTTTAAAGTAATACTCTGAAATAGCTGGATTTAGATGTGCAACTTTTTCTTGTACTGAATGATAACAGCACTTAGAACTGCTGAGATCCATCTCAGTATTTTCTTGAGAGGCTGGAGGTATTCAGGATGTATTTTGGTATAAATAGGATGCCGTTCTAAACAGCTGCATGCTGCAGCTTTGTAGCATGCAAACTGCAAAGGTGCATTGTTGCGAGGTCAAATCTAAATGAACTGTCGTTGCTCCCTTGTTGTGTTCCAACATGTGTTGCATAATTACATTACTTTAATGGATTTTCCTTACTTATTAATAAGGCAAAATATGTGGGATGTAAAATTATCTATTAATTGAAACAGTTAAGCCAAGGGATAAGGGTCGTGGTTCAGTTGTTCTAATCACATAGGTAATGGCTTTGTTATGGTACCTGCTGTAGAATCACTAAATACAAAAGGACAAATTTAACTTAAAATAATTAAAAATTGATTTGTTTCAACAGTGAGCTACCTAGAGAAGAAATAGCTGGAAACCTTGAGATAACTAGAGATATATGTAATGGATGGATGAATAGTTGTATAACTGAGTCTAGTCCCACTGGTGGGCTCAGTCATTTTGCAGCATTTTTGGGCTCAGATTAGTAGAGACAATTCCACATTATAAACAGTTCTTTTGGGTCAAAGAAGCATACAGTATACCTGTCATGCTTAAAATAAGATTTAAATCTGTTTGCAGATTTAAATATTCCACTTCTACTAAGGTTTTGCAATCTCAAGATCACTTCTGAAGTTCAAACACCTCTTTTGGTATTTGAAGACCATATAATTCCAGCAGCTCTTTTCTTACATTTTTTTAGCCTAACCTTAGTCTGATTATCAAAGTTCAGTAAACTGTAGTCATTGAAAATAATTTTTAAAGTGAATGTCTATAATAAGGGAGGAGAACAGGCCCCAAATAAAATACAAAAGTCTGTGTTTTGCTTCTGGGAACAGTCTGAGAACAAACAGAAAAGCCTCATTTTGTAGCACTGTTCACAAATGTGCTAGTAAAATCTACCAAATAATTCTGCCTATTTTCTGCATTGTATGTTGCTGGTAAAAAAGTAGGGCAATTCACACAAAAGTGTTATTATAGTGTATGGATCATTTATTTGAAGTAAATTGAGAAAAAGAAAAGATGTATTTAGCTAGTGCTATTTAAATTGCAGTCTGGTAATCTAAGCCTTCTGTGATTGCATTGTTTGTATTATAATAATAATCACAAATATCCCTTAAATGATTGCACAGGTTGGGCTAGCACTTTTTAGATGTAATCAGTAGTAAGTGAAGCTAAACAAGGAGTACTCTTTCTATCTGGCCTGTTGCCCTGTGCTACTGAACTTTCTGTTCTGTGTAGTTTCACTGGTAAAGCCTTTTTTTTTTTTTTTTGTCACATCTTGGCACTTTGAACTACCTCAATAAGATTGTATGTCTGTGGTTATTGCCATTTAAATACTTGATAATTTTTATAATTTTTAAATTTAGTTTCTAAGACATATAGTAAGTGTAGTATGGAATTGCCATATAATTAGTACTGTGCTTCTAAATTAGACAATTAATAATTGATATTTCAGGTTATATCCAGGTGTTATTCTGAGATGAAATTGTGAGATTTCAATGTATTTTTTCACCCAGATCATTAAAAATCTGCTGGAGGATTTTGTTCCGAGTCTGTTTTGGTTTTATGCAGAACATATTAAAAACTGAAAAAAACTCCATGCTCCCAAAGTCTCAACTTAATCTCTGTAGTTCCACTCATGAAGCGGCTGAAATTCTACACTGTTATAATTTTGTGAAAAAGCAAGAAATCAAATCTATCTGTAATTTTATTTTATAAAGAAAGTACTATTACAGTTTCTCTGAAAATGTGCTTGTGGGTATATTTGAAATGCGCTGGGAATATGAATGCTTGATGGCATTAAGTGCAGACAATGAATCATGGTGATCAGATATTCTCTGTTAACAAACCATATCTTTTAAAAAGACTAATTTTTGTAACTCAAAACATCAGTCCCTTTTGTTTCAGATTTTAATGAAACAATTCAGTTTTGGCACACAGCTGTAATGGACAAATGTCAGAGGATGGAAGCAAGGGGCAGTGTGTTTCAGTAAATCTAAATAGATTAATTATATTCAAATTCAATTTTAATGTCATTCCTGTTGTTTTCAAGTCTAGCCAGAGTCCTTTAGAGATGTTTGTTGGTGTTTTTTTCAGCACAGGCTGGGAAGATGAGTGTGTCCCAGTTTGCTTGATACCTGCTGCTGTCCTGTGCTGTTGCAGTTAGGTCAGCTGGACTTCACAGTTCTTTTGACTCCTGCTGTTTTTCAGTGCTAATTTTAAGCAGTTTATTAACTGAGGGTGAATGTCTCATGGCTCAATGTATTCCTGTGAGCCTTTGATAATTGGAATAATCACTTATTTCCACTTGCACTCATCTAAGCTACTTAAGTAGATAGTACAGTAGGTTGAGGCAATGAATGATTTCTTCTTTCCAGCCGTATGTCGGTCACGCAAAATAACTGCAAATCAGAGCTAGACAGTGTGCCAATTAGTACTTCCAAAATGTGTCTCTCCCACAGAAGTTATTTATGCACACTGCTAATTAGCCACTGAGGTTTTTTGTTCACTGGAGGAGAAAGGATCCACATGCATGGCACTGCAGGAATCCTGAAGCATGGGCAAGGATATCTGTGTCCAAGGCCCCAGGCCTCCTGCTTCTCAGCAGGACATTCTGACTTTCAGTAATAATTTACATTTTAAGATAAAATACTGCCCCAGGTGTTTGTGGCTTGTAATTTCAGACCTTACATGAAGAAGGGCACGAGGGACTTTAGGCAGGATCAATATGAATAAAAGTCCAGGAAAATGTACTGCCTTCTCCCACTTTCATCACTCAGAATTTTCTTATAGTGCTGAGGAGCCTTGGAAAATGTCTATATTTAGAACTTTCCAAAATAGCAATTGACTCTTACTTTTGTTTCTTTTGTTTCATTTCTTAAGTATAATTTATTTATTTTTTTGTTTCAGATACTTCACCCAGGAAAACATGTGCTTCTTCTATCTTGTCTAACCAAGCCTTCTCATTTTCACCACTTACACATAAACACCCCATATAGAAATAATGTAACGGAGACATATCTCTGCTCAGAGGTATAGCACTTGTTTCAAATAAACAGCAAGTTGGTGAGAAATGGGTGAGAGATGTAACAGTACAATGCAGTCAACCATAACTGGGGAAAAATATAGAGGCTAATTGAGGAGTAAGACAGAGAGCAACCGTGTTGGAGAAGTTGTTGTAATCAAGCTGACCTGCGTAGGATGTGAGGACGTTGAAAGCATGAGGAGCAAAAGGAAAGTTGTTATTGAATCAGTTATAGGTAATTTAATGATTATTTTAGGTAGACCTAAGATTTCAACCTGTTATTGAACTTCTGCTCCCTTTCCCCTTCCAGTTATTCTCTCCTTTTTTGCATGTGACTGTGGTGTCAGTCTCACCTTAAACATGTTTTTTTTGTTTTAGTTAGTTGCTGCTCTTTGTGATGTCAGTTTAGGAGCAATGTCTACCGAGTGCCCTCACCTCAAAGATCTTCAGTTATGCTCTATACTACTTGTGTTCTTTCTGAGCCCATAAATCTCCCCTTCTACAGTGACCCAGCATCATTAGGATGAGCAGTAAGTACTCTGCTCATCCTTCTGCTCTCCGTGGTCCTCTGCCATTGCAGGGGCCTCTTGGAAGGACCTTAGAGGTAAATTACTTTGGCCATGCAACTGAGGAGGGGATGAAAACAATATTGTTTAAAAAAAAATACCCCCTAAGTGCCTGCCTTCCCCTTCTGCTTCTGTTTTGCGCCAAGAGTGAGAGGCTTCTACCTTTCTCTCCAAGATCTGATGCCATGCCCTGGGGTGCCCTAATAGGTGCAAATGTTACAGTCCTGAGTCAGCAGCATAAAGATAATATGTGTATTTATATACTAATATAGGAAGCTACAGCTTTATGGAAACTTCATAGTATGTTTAAGGGATAATGATTTATTAGCCACTGTCAGGAAAATCTCTATAAGCAGGATGGAAAAATTGCAGGAGTTATGAAGTAGATGAGGCAATAGAGGAGAAAAAGAAAGCACTCAATCTCACAAGTGCATATTTTATTCCAAATGTTGGAGGCAGAGAAATTATGGTCAGGATAAATTAAAGCATTCACATAATAGAGTGAAACTCAGAATGTAATCTAAACTTGTGATAATAGTATCATCTATAAAAATTGTATGCTTTCAGGTTGTTTTTATATATTTCCAGTATTGAATGAACAAAACCAAGAAATTCACATTTCTACTCCTAGGAGAAGAAGTATTGCATTTAAATAGCTGTACAAGTTAACTTTGAAAAGCCTACAGTTTAATATCTGATTGTTTGCAGTAATGCTCCTCTGCATTCACTGACCAATGTGGAAAATTTTAAATATGAATTATTATTTGTATGAAACCTTTTAAGAGAAGATGTAAGTAAAGGTAAACGATAGTCACTCATTTATCACTGGCCATAGTAGAAAGTGGCAGCCAGAAGCTTATTCATTTTGATATTAAAAAAATGCTGTCACACTGTCAAATATGCCAAAGCAATGCTTTCTGGATAATTTTTCATGTCTGTTTTCCTCTTCACAGAAACAGCACAAATTGAACAGGTTAACTTTTAAATAAATTTCAAGTTTCATGGAACTGCAATTATGTGGTAAAAGCTGTAGCTTTATCAGACAGTCAGCAGTAGAGAATGCAATAGAAATGGCTAGCTGTTTCAAATAGTCAACATTTTTTAGGCTGTCCAGTCAGCCACGTTCTTAAGAAAATCTCCTGAGCTCTTAAAAGAGCAGTGAAAATATTATTTTATTATTTTTATGTGAAGCAAAATATGCTGAGATACTAACAAATTTGTAATATGCAATAACTACAATAGGCTATTTATTAGAAAAATAGTTAAGAATTGCTTTTGCTGTGAAGGAAATGCATTATACACAGCAGTGGTGCTGAAGCTGTACGCTTCTCAAATTAGGTTTACACTTTCAGATTAGAAAAATGAATAGAAAATGTGTTGGGATATGTGGCATTTTCCTTGGGAGCTTTATGGCTTATTTGCATAAACTACAAAATAATCAAACAAACCTGAGGCTGGCTTTTAAAATACTCACCAAAAATAATATACTCTATTCTTGTGTAATTTTAACGAAAACTTTAATTGACCTCACAGTGTGGTGGTGTAAAAAGTATGTGATACAGTTAGGTATTGAGATAGGCTGTTTAATAAGACATTAAGAAATAAATGGCAGATGTGGTAATAAACAGAATCAGTGTAAAACAGGTAAAGTGTCCTTAATGACTGATGCACTGCAGCATGTCATTTTATACTTAAATTAATGATGCAATTTAAGAAAAATGCTACTATACTAGTAGAAGTCATATCAATTGTATTGCTAACTTAAAATTTTATTAAAACATGTGTGAGTAATAAAATGCTTTATTATTAAAGCATTTTATTATTAAAATGCTTTATTATTTTGTGTTCTTGGGGGCAGTTTGGATTTGCAGAGCTTGATGGCGCACTAATTCTCTATGAATTCTGATCAAAATGAACTTGTGCTTGTCTATGCTGTTGTTTAGGTATTTCATGAAGTCACATAATCTAAAGCTGAAGGCAAAGATTTCATAACAGAGTTCCAAAATTAATCCATTAGAAATAACCATCTACCTTTTTCCCTATCTTTAGTTAAAGACACATTCCTCATGCCCTGCTCTAACTTTTGGCTCTTTCTACTTGTTTTTTTCCTCTGTTAAATGAGCTGGATAGAAGAGTCATAATTGTGCACAGTTCAATCTTTGCTCTGCCCATTTGCTGCATTGTAAAAGGCATGGAGGTCATGTATGATTGCAGAAGAGCTCAGAAGGGTTTCTCACCCTCACAGGAATAAATAAATTTGTAAATAATTATATACGCTGTGCTGTGTTTCTGAATGCTCTGAGTAAGAAGTAACACACTGAGCACACACACTAAATTTTTTACCCCTTCACTATTGAGTTGCAGTGAATTGGGTTTTTTCCTTGTCTTGAGCTAACATTTATGTTTTCACAAAA